GGAAGGAAGGAAGGAAGGAAGGATTTCTTTTTGGACAACATCTCCCAGAATCCCCCAGTCAACATTGCATTCTTGGCAAAGAAATAATAATAAAAATTTTGGACAATATCTCCCAGAATCCCCCAGTCAACATTTCATTCTTGGCAAAGAAATAATAATAATAAAATTTCTAATGTGAGAAAAATGTCTGTTGGATACCCTACTGCTATGGTTCCCAACTGCGGGTCTCCAGGTGTTCTTGGACAAACTCCCAGAGGTCTTCCCACCTCGCTGTGCTGGCCAGGATTTCTGGGAGTTGTAGTCCAAGAGCACCTGGGTGACCCAAGTTTGGGAACCCCTGCCCTTTTGGTTTCTGTTCGGCCATATCTTCAACTAGGATGAATTCTTCAAGCACAGGAGGCCGGTCTGTTATCACTCAATATTCTGTTTCTTTCAGCTTCTCCAAAGAGGTGGCCTAGGGATGTTAAGTATGTATGGAAGGAATTTCGTGAACGGTACCGATGCAAACCTACTGCAGCAAAAACAGCAGCAACTCTATCTTAAAAGTGAATGAGTATTATTTGACATATGCTTCTCTGGATTACTAGTCATTTCTTCTGATGGATGGATGTAAAAAAGGAGTCTGTCCAGGGCGGAAAGACTGAACGTGTGACAGGGAGTGGGAGGGGGGAGGCAGAGGTCTACACAGACGTACCTCGTGTTGTTGTTAGATGCCATCAAGTTGCTTCCAGCTGAGGGTGATCCTTTGAGCAAAGGAAACCCCCCTCCAAGGCTCTGTCATTAACAGCCCTACCCAAGTCTTGCAAACGCAAGGTTGTGGCTTCCTTTAGAGAGTCAACCCCTCTCTTGTTTGCTCCTCCTCTTTTCCTACAGCTTACCTCGAATCCCTGTCTTTTCCAATAGGTCTTGTCTTCTCATGATATGTCTAAAGCAGAGGTCCCCAACCCCTGGTCCGTGGCCTGAGCCGGACTAGATTGCGGAGAGAGACCTCCCCCACCCCTGCACCCACTCCCCCCCCAGAGCCCATTTGCACATGTGCATGAGCGCTGCACCACCCTTTGCGCATACGCACAAGTGTTCCCGCACAAGCACTGTGCCTTCCCCAGCCGGTCCGCGGGGCTAAAAAGGTTGGGGACCACTGACCTAAAGTATGATAGCCTCCGTTTCATCCTTTTGGCTTCTAGAGTGAGAGTTCATCGGACCGAGAATCCACTTGGTCTTTCTGGTGCTAACAGTGTGTGCACCTGAGACAAATTGATTCTCCTGTAATAAGGCTGCTTATGTCTACCAAAAGAAAAGAAAAAAAAGGAAAAACCCCAAACCTAGTTTCTGTACACCTTTGCCCTCTGCAGACTTCGGCCGATCAACTGATCTTAAGAGGGACACTGTTAAGGAAGATGGGCCGAGAGAAATGAGTCCAAGGCTCCCATCTCCTCCTGAAAAGACACCCCCCCCGACAGCCCAAGATAGGAGCCCCATTTTGGCTGGATGGATGGATGGTTAGCACCAGCCACCAGGCAACTGGGAGCAAGCTCTGTGCGCTACATCTTAAGTTCCATCTCTGCCCCCGGCGGCCAGGAAGGAGGTGGCGGTGGGTGTGTGGGTGGCTGGTTGGGTGAGCGGGTGACTGAGAACAGCAGCTGCAACAGCCACAGACGGAGCCGGCTGCTGTGAGAGAGCGCACACAGGCTGAAACTGACAGGGACAAGACACATACACACACAAAGGTTTTTAGCCTGGAGACCCAGGTAAGGAGGCAAAGGAGTCGGGGGGGGGTGAGGGAATGCGTTCAGAGATCCAAAAGGATAATCGGGCCATCAGAGACCCCTTCCACTGGACCGGCCAGCCTGGTGGAAGCCCTGATCGGTCAAAGTGAATTGCACATTCCCTGAAATCCTCCTAATGTTACAGTCATTCCTTGAGACGCAGCCATGTCAATTACTTACTGCCCAAAGTTTGGAGAACTTTTTGCTAGTGGTTTTGTTTGTTTGTATGTTTTTGGAGTTGTGTCCTGGGGCCACATCAGCTTTTGAATATCTTGTGTTGCTATCTCTTTGACCATCGTTTTACCTGTGGAACGGAAAAATAATAATAATGGGGAAGGAAGGAAAAGCTTGACTTCACCCTGAAGGTCATGAAACTCTATACAGGTCACAGGAGCAAAAACAGGCCAGGGTTTTCTCTGTCCGCTGGCAAGCTTCCCCCCACCATTATGGTCTACCGGCCTGTTGATAGCCAGCTTTCAGGCGACACAGAGCTCTTGTTTCGACCGGTGCTTCTTCTCTCTTGGCACTGCTATTCCACCACAAGCCCCATTTGGCTATTCTATTCCTCTTGGTACGGTTTCTTCAAGGCTCAGATGAAACGCGGCCAGCTATGAAACCAGACTTTCTGGCAGTCCCTTTGACAGCAGATTAATATCATGTAAAAGATCATGCCTTGCTCCACACCGTGAAAAGCCTACAGCCGCTGGTTTTTGTCGGGCAGACTTCTGTTTAAGAAACAGAGGGGAGTCCAAGCATACTAGATTGAGTTTCTTTCTGGTAAGTTGGCAACCCTACTCAAAAAGCAGTTTTGGTGTTATACCTGCGAAGTGTTTGTGGGTTAGAGGGAAATGATTGGATGGGTTGGGTTTGTTTTTTGTTTGTTTGTTTGTTTTAAGGTTACTCAACCACCATGTGAACTGCTAGATAACTCTGTGGTTTCGGCATCTGGTTGTGGAGTCAGAAGTTGGGAGTTCGATTCTCCACTGGGCCTCCTTGATGATCCATAGGGTCCCTTCCAGCTCTACAGTTCTAAGATGAAGATGATTGTTATGGGCATGGGAGCAGCTTGGAAAAAGACCTGAGGAAAAGTTTACTGCTACCTTGCTTCCCCCAGAGTTTTCCAGCCAGGGTTGGTAATATGGTGTGTGGGTCCATTAAAGAAAAGTATAACTGCCTCGGGCAGCTGTTTTGGGTATTACAGAAGGCTAGCTAGCTGTTAATTATTAAACTTTTTGTTAATGTATTTCAACTGCCAGGAAGAGGCCTTTTTGGTGGGGTTTCTGCCTCGGACAGCCTTTGGTACTTGACACAATGGCGAAAGTGCTTTATATTCCACCTCAGACAAAGCAATGTTTTCACCTGACTCTGGGGTGGTGAACACAGTTCAACATTTGCTAGGCGAATTTTCGTGACTGGCCTGTCCAGTGACTTCAAAACTGTGCTTACCTTTGGCACCCTGTACATTAAGAAGGAGATAAATGAACTGGCCCACACTCAAGGCAAAGCAACAAAGTTAGTGCTGTGAGGAAATGTGGAAGGAAAGGGGCATGTTTGGCCCTGAGAAGGGATGACTGAAGACAGAAACAGGTCAAAGCTTCAAAAGGTTACTTTCTTGGACTACCACCCCCAGAATCCCCTAGCCCAAGATAGGAGCCCCATTTGGCAGCTAAATTTGAGTATTAAAAAAACAAAAAAAAGTAAATGTCCCAAGTTTTACAGAGACCCCTTCCTATTCGGAAATGTGCAAGAATTTTGCTTGATTTGTTTTCAAATGAAAGGTTTTACAAATTGCGAAAAAGAAAATGAGTTAAAAAAAAAAAAGAATGTGAGATAGTCATTTTGCATCTAGCTCTTAAAAATTTCCTCCCCATGCTATTTGACCATGGTTGCAATCCAGCGTTCAGGTTAGCACCTCTTTGTGGTAGGAACCTCTTCTATAACAGTTCTTTGGCAGACAAATACAAAGCCTGCCTTCTTGATAGTGGAAACAGATGCATCCATTGAGTTGGGTTTTGGACAACGGCTGAGAATATCGTTTGGTCCATTCTCGACAAGCAGTTATGAACATTTGAAAATTTGTGCACCGCTTTGACAGAGAGATCTTGAGACTTAGGAACGCTGCATTGACTGAAATCAGGGTATGTTTTAAGCGCTTTTGATGGTGGTTTCTAATATCGTTCGGTGTTGTAATTATTTTTCAGCATTATATCTTGCAGTGTTTTTAATCGAGACGATGGAGTCATGTTAACTGATTTAAGAGCCAACTTGGGGAGAAGGGCTCAGAGATGATACTGTACTCTTTTGGACTGCAGTTCCCAGAATCCCCACTTGGCACAGACATTGGGGGATTTGGGGAGTTTTATTTTAAAAAAAGGTTTTGGATGTTTTGGCTCCTTCCCACTCCTAGCTGGTGCTTCTGTGACTCACAGTGACTGTGATACCAGTTGGTACATGATTCTTAGTATTCCTAGTGGGTGTGAGCTAGGAAAACTTCATGTGATAACGGTGTGACTTTTTGCTCAGAATGTTGGATGTGATGAATGCCAAAATATATATATATAAGCTGTCAGAGGTGGCTCTCAATGAAGGTCTATTGAGAAAGCATAATATTCTGGAAAAAAGCTTGCTAGTAGGGTAAGTGGTGGTGGCAGAAGTACGGTGACCCTGCAGATATTGTGGGATCACAACCATCTCTGACAACTAGCCACGCTGGCTAGGGCTTATGCTTTTCCCTTCTTAAGTTTGGGGGGGGTTTGCTTCTTTTTCTTTCTTTTTTAATCAGAAGGCATTTTGGAGTGAAATCCCAGGATACAAGCAATTTTAGGAGCTGAATTCAGGCTGAGTTTGTGCGTGTGTTCTTATTGTTTCATAAACTGGCTAGATTTTGCTTGGATTAAAATCTACAGTGGTGCCTCGCTAGATGATGATAATCCGTTCCACTGAAATCGCTATTTAGCGAAATCATCGTCTAGCGAAAAGCATTTCCCTATTGGAATGCATTGAAACCTGTTTAATGCATTCCAATGGGGAAGAATCGTTGTTGTCTAGCGAAGATCGGCCATAGGAAAGCCACTTTGCGAACCGTCGATCAGCTGTTTAAATAGCTGTCTTCCGAAGCTTAGGTCCCAAAAACACCCGTTTTGCGAGCACGGAGGGAGCTATCAAAATCGTTGTCTAGCGAAAATCGGTTTGCGAAGCAGGGACTAAACATTGTCCAGCGAAATTCCCCCATAGGAATCACTGTTCTGCGAATCGCTATAGCGATCGCAAAAAGACAATGTCTAGCAAAAAAAAAAACCTGTCATGCGGGGTAACTGCCTAGCGAGGCACCACTGTATTTTAGAATCACAGAATGATGAAGTTGGAAGGGGCCTATAAGAATATACCATTCAGTCTATGCCCCTGCTCAGTGCAGGAATACAAATCAAAGGACATCTGCCAAGGTTAGAGGCTGTCTAAGTTTCTCTTGAATGCCTCCAGTGTTGGAGCGCTCGCCACCTCTCGAGGTTGTGGGTTCCATTGTTGTACTGCTTTAACAGTTAGGAAGTTTTTCCTGACATTCAATCAAAACATGGCTTCCGGTCACTTGAGCCCATTGTTGTGTGTCCCGCACTTGGGGCTGATCTATTAAGGCTATGCAATACCTTGAACACTCAGTTTCTGAGTAGGGAGACAATGTCTTGATATTTGAAATAAATAAACTATAATATGGCCAAGTGGACTTTGTTAGAGACATAGGAGCTGGTGGCGCTGAAATTGAGTTCTCAGATGTACTAATTCACTGGTGGTGATGTTCAGGGTATTTCTTCCAAACGGAGCCTGTTTCCCCCCCCCCCTTTTTTTTTCCTACATGGTGTCAGAGTATTCCAGGATTCGTATCTGAACACACCCTCTCCTCTTCTTTTCTCAAGCTCTTCTTCAGAAATCTTTTAATTTAACATCTTCATCCCTGCCGTAGTTCTCTGCTGGAGCCATGTGGGTACCGGTGGTGATGAGGATCATTTCTGAATGCTGTTTCCAAGCTTATAGCCATGAAGTTGTGCTGCTACAAACATGAATTGCAGTTGGGAATCCCCCAAGGCTCTAAACTCCACCTCCCGGAACAAAGGAGGATCTAAAATAAACCCTGCTGTCGGGAAGGATCAAAAGTCGCAGAACGTCATCAAAACCTATTTCACTGAAATAAGGAAGAAAAGTCTCATGTAATTTGGTGGTGGGGAAAATGGTATAGTACTGATCTTACCGAGTACAAATCCTGATATTTTTATCTGAACCCTGGATGAGTTAGTCCTCAACTTGAGTGAAGACAAGCGTTAAGTTAATGAGGGAGGGAGTCTTTGAATATGTGAGGGGTGATGATGTAAAGAGCCAGCATGAGTTACGAGACCCTTCTGATATATTGATAGTGAATGATGGGAGTTGTAGTTACGGGATCTAGAAAGAAGGCTAAAGAAGAAGCATCACTTTCTCTTGGGCTTACTCCCAGTTGTGAGTGTGACAATGAAACCTGCACATGTAGGCGCAGCATTTTGAGGACGAAATGATCTTGCTCGTCCCTCACTTTCACAACTAGACAACAGTGGGACCCAGGGCCAAAATGTCTGCCAGTCTGACCAAGACTATCTTGGCATTTCACATACTTTTCCTCAGATAATTTTCCTTCCCTGATAGAACCTCCAGATTTTGACTTCAATGAGGTGAAATTAGTAGACAAGTTGGGATGTGCAAAACTCCTCCTTTTTTTTTAAAGAAATGTCCCCTTTCTGAGTCAGTCTCAGAACTCAACCTCCATCACTAATGTAGACCTCAGGGGACACAGCCATTTCCTGACAGAATTTCTCCCCCCAAAAATATTTGTCGACTTGGCCACAGCCATTTCCTGACAGAATTTCTCCCCAAAAAACACATATTTGCCTATTTGGGTGCTGCATCTTCTCCCTGTTCAGCACATTTTGTTTGCTTGTTGTTTCTTATTAAGAATCACTTTGTGATTGGCTACAATCAGTTGTCCACAAGTTATACATGCTGTATTACCAGCACATTTTGTTTGCTTGTTGTTTCTTACTAAGAATCACTTTGTGATTGGCCACAATCAGTTGTCCACAAGATAGACAGGCTGCATTACGGGTGCATGGGAGTGCACCCATAAATGCATTGTGCAACAGCAGTGTTCCGCATTTCATAAACCAAGTTAAAGAATAGGTGCACCCCAAACAAAAAAATTGATAACTTTGATCAGCACCAAAGGTGGCACAGAGGTAGCAGACGGTTTGCTCTTGCTATGTGCCAAATTTGGGGGGTGTTTGGGCAAACAATTTTCAAGTTATTCTTGCTATGTGCCAAATTTGGGGATGTTTAGGCAAACAGTTTTCAAGTTATGTCTTTTTAAATAAAGTTATTGTAACCCACCTACCGCTACCTATACAGATGCCAGCGACCTCTGTGTCATGGATTTAAAACAGATCCCATACACTGAAAAGACCAAACTTGCTTACTTTGAAAGAGAGTGGTTAGTCCCAGCCCCTGTTTTTTAAACCTGTCTTCCAATATTCTGGAGTGAGAAATGTCTTGGGTATTGTGGTTGCATGCACAGGGGATAGTTGTGTAGCAGACACAGTTCTGTGTTTTACTACAGAAGGGACCAGTGTGTATCTCAGAAGGAGATATATTACAAAAGCAAAGCAAAGCTGAGGATGCATTTTCCATCTCTAAGACCAACTTGTTTATTCCACTGTGAGTTTTTCGATCACAGTCTACTTCTGCATGACAAGTTGATG